TGTATATAGTCCTTTTCTTGAATCTTCCGGACGCGATGGTTAACAAATTGTTTATACTCGCCATTTCCCTTTATCCAATATAATGCTACGGTACTATCGAGCCAGCTGAACGTGTTTCGAACCGGAAATCCCATCAAGGACTCTTTCACATTATGAAGCAAGTTCGTGGACATATGACCTGCGACAAGTTCAAGTCTGGGAATAGTTAAACCTTTCTTGGCGAGTCTGGACTTCGACGCTACGATACCTTGGTTGATACCGGACTGTTGCTCGGTTACGGCATATACGACCGATGACACTCCCTTGCCACTAGCATCGCCGAAGGCATGTAGATCAATTGCTCCAATTTCTTCTTCATAACCAACAAGACTCCTCGTTGTCTCCACTTCCTTTGGTAGATTTTGTTCCCACGAAATCCATTTGGCAAGCAATTCTGGTGTCAGTTCCTTGTCCCAAGGCATTCGCGCATCACAAACTTCTCTATAGATTAGTTTTCCTTGTAATGTTGTGGGTGATACAATCCTCAGAGGATCGTATATTTTGGCGATGTTTCCCAAAAGACTTCGTTTCGTAATTTCTTTCAACGAATCCGGAAATTTAACTTTGATAGTATCCTTTTCCTTGTCCCAAGGCACACCGAGTAAACTTGTTTCTCCAGGTTTCACTCCCAATTGCTCTTTCGCATAACTTGTCTCGACTGTTTGGAGGGAATTTGTTTCTGCTTCTAGGGGTTTTATTTCCGCTTCGAGGGGTTTTATTTCCGCTTCGAGGGGTTTTATTTCCGCTTCGAGGGGTTTTATTTCCGCTTCGAGGGGTTTTATTTCCGCTTCGAGGGCTGGATTATTCGCTTCGAGGGGTTTTATTTCCGCTTCGAGGGGTTTTATTTCCGCTTCGAGGGCTGGATTATTCGAATGCCACTTGTGCAAATCAAATTTCGCCTCACCAAAGATGGTCACGCACGATTTCTTAAGATGCTCGGTTTTTTCAACTGTTGTCCCTCCGGATATGAGATCATCCACACACAGACTTCGTCGTATCTCGTCAACTTCACGTGGATAAAGTTCGTGGACATATGACCTGCGACAAGTTCAAGTCTGGGAATAGTTAAACCTTTCTTGGCGAGTCTGGACTTCGACGCTACGATACCTTGGTTGATACCGGACTGTTGCTCGGTTACGGCATATACGACCGATGACACTCCCTTGCCACTAGCATCGCCGAAGGCATGTAGATCAATTGCTTCAATTTCTTCTTCATAACCAACAAGACTCCTCGTTGGCTCCACTTCCTTTGGTAGATTTTGTTCCCACGAAATCCATTTGGCAAGCAATTCTGGTGTCAGTTCCTTGTCCCAAGGCATTCGCGCATCACAAACTTCTCTATAGATTAGTTTTCCTTGTAATGTTGTGGGTGATACAATCCCCAGGGGATCGTATATTTTGGCGATGTTTCCCAAAACACTTCGTTTCGTAATTTCTTTCAACGATCGAATCCGGAAAGTTCACTTTGATAATATCCTTTTCCTTGTCCCAAGGCACACCGAGTAAACTTGTTTCTCCAGGTTTCACTCCCAATTGCTCTTTCGCATAACTTGTCTCGACTGTTTGGAGGGAATTTATTTCCGCTTCGAGGGGTTTTATTTCCGCTTCGAGGGGTTTTATTTCCGCTTCAAGGGGTTTTATTTCCGCTTCGAGGGCTGGATTATTCGAATGCCACTTGTGCAAATCAAATTTCGCCTCACCAAAGATGGTCACGCACGATTTCTTAAGATGCTCGGTTTTTTCAACTGTTGTCCCTCCGGATATGAGATCATCCACATACAGACTTCGTCGTATCTCGTCAACTTCACGTGGATAAACCGATTGCATGTTCTGCAGGTGCTGCTCAATAACACCGCCCAACAGGAACGGCGACGTAGAAAGGCCAAATAATGCTCGTGTAAATCTCAGTGTTTCCACTTTCCTTGTTGTAAGATCTTTGAGCCAATGAAAACGGAGGGCGTCACGATCATCTTCCCTTATACGAACTTGCAGAAATGCTTGTTTAAGGTCGCCGGATAGAGCTACAGGGTGCAATCTATTTCTTACTAGAACACTCCATAGTTGGTTTTGTAATGATGGGCCAGGTTCTAGGCATTCGTTTAAGGGAGGTGATCTTTCATTTGGACGAGCGGAAGCATCATACACAATTCGGGTTTTAGTACTTCTGCTGTTTCACGTACGACTGGTTTGTGCGGAATGTAAAATTCCTTTCCTTTTGGCTCTTCTTCTACTCGCTCAACAATTCCTTTTGACAGTTGATCTTTGATTATTGAATCATATTTTTCAAGCATGTCCGGTTGTTTATCTAATTTCCTTACGAGGCTTTCCAGTCGCTTAATACTCCCTTCTTTGTTGTTGGCTAGTGGTGGATGGTTCCCCTTCCAGAGGAGCCCTGTCTCGTACCAACCGTCTGGGGTTCTCACTAATTGCTCTTTAAATTCTTGATAAACATTGCTTTGGTCACCAGTTGGATGATCTTTCAGCCCGAGTATGTCAAGTCTACATACTCTGAAGGAGTTGTCTGGGTTAAGAGCATCTTGGTTAGGTCAGCTTCCTTGCCAGGAGACATGACGGTCCAGCCCAGTTGCGTCAGCTCTGCTACAGGTTCTCCAGGTTTGCCGATTTTGGGGGTTGTCTTGGTTTTAATCTTGGTATATTCGCTAGTTCCCAAGATTAAGTGTACTGGTAATTCTTGCTTGGTGTCTGTGTCATTCATGGTCACTCCATTTAGATGATCATACTGTTTTATCAGGTCAGAATAGTTGGGGTTGTTAAGGGTGAGCAACACGCCACGATTCACTTTAGTTACTTCAGTTCTCAGATTAAACTGGTCCGATAAACTCATCACATCCACTTGGTGAACTTCGATTTCTTGTCTTGTGGTTTGCATCATCATCTCGATTCGACGGACTTCTTTTCGCACTGGACGGGTTTTGATTCGATCTAGCAAGGCGGCTGATGCATACGAACTGCCTGCTCCGTGCAGTGTCGATACTAACATGAAGATCCCCATTGAGCGGAAGTTAGTATTCCGAAATATTTAGGATATAGTGGAAACACATAGTGGAAACACAACAAAACAAAGAGCATGGGTTTTTATCGCGATCGAGACAAAGTGACATTATATTTTAGTTTCTCTTTATATTTATGATTCTTTTTATGAAATAAATAGTAAAATAACCAAAAGTGAGATTGTGAGTTATTGTACCGACGAAGTTCCGTACATTTAGTGGTGCCGTGACCAGGATTAAACACAGGGGGTCCAACTAACAGCTGTGTTATGAATAAAACATATTAATTAAACGTAATATGAATAAAACATCATAACGTAATATTGCACTTACTTGTATAAATCATAAGAGCTTGCATTTTAATACAGTGAATAGCTTCAAAAACTTGCTTCGTTCCAACCCAAAGACTTCAAATATGGCGAATAAATTGACAAAACGATAATATTACATGACGTTCCAACGAAAATAACAGAAAGGATTGCGGGCGCGAGCGGAAGGCGAGGGTAATATATATTAATAGAAGGGATGAAACACCGGTAATGCGATCGTGTGATGTGTTCCATAAGTAGCCTGTTCTCTCGGAAATTTCCAAAACGCCTCCTGCCAACTCCAACAACGCCTACGCGCTTAATTAATGAAAATAAACAATGTTTAGCTATACCGGCTAATATGAAATGTTTAAATGTAGCGACCAACGGGTTTTTTTTTACATTATTTAGTTTTATTATTATTTCGTCATACGTCACGAGAACAGGCTACTTATGGAACACATCTCGCGATAATGGCCAAGAATGCTCGCTGTTATAAATCACATAAATTAGATTGATCAGTGCTTTTTTGGTAATGACTAGGCTTGTTCATGTAAGAGAACATCGACTGAGCCTTAAAAACCCCACAAAAAGCTTAAACGGATAGTCTAGAAGCATTTTAAAAAGTCACGTGATATTTGTTTCATCCCTTCTATTTATTTATTTCCTCGCCTTTCCGCTCGCGCCCGCAATCCTTTCTGTTATTTTCGTTGGAACGTCATGTAATATTATCGTTTTGTCAATTTATTCGCCATATTTGAAGTCTTTGGAACGAAGCAAGTTTTTGAAGCTATTCACTGTATTAAAATGCAAGCTCTTATGATTTATACAAGTAAGTGCAATATTACGTTATGCAAAATAACGAATGAGTGTATACACACCGGATCGTCTTTACAACCGTTGATGTGAGACATTTTAATACGAGCGAGAATGAGTCCACACCTTGTACTAGCAGATATTCAAAAGGCATTCCTTCGGGTGGGCCTGAAGGAGGAGGACAGAGATGCCTTCAGGTTTCTTTTCAACATTAACAACCATGAACAACACTTCAGATTTGCCCGAATTCCCTTTGGTGCAGAAGCCAGTCCGTTCATGCTAGGAGCTACAATAAACTACCACCTTGACCACCAACCCGATACCCTAGAGACCACCGTTCAAGCGCTACGACAGAACACATACGTGGATAACCTCATGAAGATCTCAGACGACATCGAAGAACTGAGCAAGTTCAAAGAAGAAGCAACCCACATCTTTGAATCGGCACAATTCCCCATTCACAAATGGGAATCAAACGTACTGGAGTTAGACACTGAACCCAATCCAAGCAAGATACTTGGACACATCTGGGACAAGCGTGAAGACTCGCTTGAGATCAAGGTTGATGCAAGTTCAACGGAGGGTAGTCCTGTGACAAAGCGTACTATTCTAAGAAAACTCAGTGGCGTGTACGATCCACTAGGGATAATGTTTCCAACCATGGTAGAGGGGAAGCGTATTTATCGGGAAGCTTATGACGAGAAGGTTGGCTGGAACGCGGAAGTCAGTGACGTATTGAAAAAAGATTGGGTACGGTGGACTAGCCAACTGAGAAACGTGAGAGTACCAAGAAGCATAGCAAGAGACATACGTAAGATTAATAAAGTACACCTGCATGTGTTCGCTGATGCTAGTAATGTTGCATGTTCCGCCGCAACAATAGCAGTGATTGAACATTCAAGCGGAGTGATCAAGGGGCTACTGACGTCGAAGAGTAGAATATCGAAGCGCAACACGACAATGGCGAGGTTGGAGTCGGTCAGTGAGCATATGGCCACAAATATGGTAAAGAACATTCTTTCTGCCCTGAAGCTGTGGCCCATTGCATCTGTTACTGTTTGGATGGACAGTATGGTGGCGCTGTACTGGATCTGCAATCCAGGGAAATCATGGAAAGTGTTTGTGAGCAACCGTGTGAGAAAGATCGCAGAAATCACTCACGAGACCGGAATAATCTGGAAACACTGTCCAACAGATAAGAATTTAGCAGATCTCGGAAGTCGAGGAGCAAGCTTAGACAAGATGGAAAGGAAACTGGTTCTCAGGACCAGACTGGTTACTTGACGAGAGAGAGTGGCCAACACAACCGAAGCTTGTGACAACAAAAAGAGTAAGCGAAGAATTCAAGCCTACAGTAGCGGAGGCACTGTTTACCGTGAAGCGAGAACCGGACGAGTGGGATGCCCTATTTGAGAAGTGCTCCTACTGGAAGACCCTACGAGTGACAGCATGGGTTCTAAGGTTCAAGCACAATGCCCTGGCCAAGAACCGAAAGACGAAGAAGAAGAGTGGTCCACTTACCACCGAAGAGATCGCCAGCGCAGAGGATTGTTGGGTCCGAAGAGTGCAAGTGGACGTTGAATCCGATCTTGAGACACCAGGGTGGAAACTAGCAAGGGACGAAGACACAGGCATCCTCAAGTGCAAGGGGAGGATCCATGGTTATGAGCCTGTTTTCATCCCAAACGGACACTTTGCAGAGAAATTAATCCGTCATGCTCATCAGCAAGTCAATCACCTTGGCATCGCAAATACGATGTCTGCAGTCAGAGAAAAGTGGTGGATACCTAGATTGAGATCGAAATTAGTGAAGAAAGTGATCAACCGTTGCAACCGATGTAAAGTATTTAGAGCCAAACCGTATGGGGCGACAGCAGATTTACCGAGATTTCGCACAGAATGCAGCAGACCATTCGAGACGACAGGGATCGATTTCGCGGGACCTTTGAGGTACAAGTTATCGAAGCGAGACGAAGGCAAATGCTATATTATCATCTTTACGTGTGCAACATCCAGAGCCGTTCACCTCGAAGTCACGGAATCCCAAACGGCGGAGGAGTCCCAACGAAAGCTGAACGCGTTTGTGACGCGACGCACGAGGCCGAAACGCATTGTATCAGATAACGCGTCCGTGTTCAAGTCTACCGCCACTTGGATCAGGAAGATACGGAAAAGCGAATCCCTTCAAGACCACCTTGCGAAATTAGAGATAAGATGGCAGTTTAACCTCTCGAGATCTCCCTGGTGGGGAGGCATGTATGAACGACTGATCAAGGAAATAAAGAAAACCCTATACAAGACGATGGGAAGATCACATTTGCGTTACGAGCAAATGGAATCAGTAGTTATGGATATTGAGAGACACCTAAATAACTGCCCACTATAAACATACGTGGAGAGTGACAACGGCGAGGAGCAAGTATTAACACCCAATGTGATTATGTGGGGCCAGAATTCCCATACTATAGAAGATATTGAGATCGAAGGTGATGAAGTCAGCAAGCTTCACGCGAGACTGATGTTGAAACGACAACAGGTATGGCAACGATGGAAGAAAGAGTATGTCCACAGCCTTATGGAGAGCCACAGAGTACACAGAGGAGTCGGTAGGGTTCCTGAAGTCGGAGAGATCGTACTGCTGGTCGGCGACGAGAAGAATAGGGGTGAGTGGACGAAAGGGAAGGTTGAGCGGCACATCCAAGGCAAGGACGGTGTAGTGAGGGGCGTGACACTCCTCCACAAGGGTCACTATATTCAGAGGCCCTTAACGCTGATATGCCCGTTGGAAATTAAGGCTGTCGAAGCAGTTCAACCCGAGCAAAGACAAAAAGAAACGCAACAACTGCGACCGAGAAGTACTCGAAAGGCGGCGGAGACAGCTCGTGAACGGATACGTCTAACTGCTGATGCTGATTAGTGTTGAAAGACTATGCAAATATATTAACATTGAGAAACATTAGGCCCAAGAAATCCCGGACATTGTTGAGATTGTTGCTAACATTATGCACGTAAAATTAGTTATGTTATTATAATTTTAGGGGAGCGTGGGCGGAAGTTAGTATTCCGAAATATTTAGGATATAGTGGAAACACATAGTGGAAACACAAAACAAAGAGCATGGGTTTTTATCGCGATCGAGACAAAGTGACATTATATTTTAGTTTCTCTTTATATTTATGATTCTTTTTATGAAATAAATAGTAAAATAACCAAAAGTGAGATTGGGAGTTATTGTACCGACGAAGTTCCGTACACCATCGATTTTTTCAGTATATAACTATACTTTATATTGCCTTAAATTGCAAATTTGCGCACTGACCCGAGAATATCTTCGAATTAATCACGCTTTTCTGCAGCTGAAAACGCCCACTTATCCCGTTTTGCGTTTTGGCGCCCCCCAAAGCCATCCCTTAGTATCTTTTTGTGTATATTTAAAAGAAAACTACTATATAAGGAGAAAAGATCGCAGGGGCCCTTAGTCGGTTGAGAAAAGTGGTTGAAGCGTGCTTCCTGCTTTTCACGCTTATGATATGGAGCTTCTAGCAGTTTATTTAAATGATATTTAAGCCAATTTGAAGGGGCCCAAAACGGCCTTACAAACAAGCGGCCCACCGGGCGTTTGCCCGGTGAGCCCGACCTGCCAGTCCACCCCTGAAAACTATTATATGTTTTATCGCCATGCAAACGGGGTCTCTGTAAAGAACGGAAACCGAAACGACCGAATCCGGAAACGACCGAAACCGGAAACGACCGAAACTGGAAATTCCCGCCTAATTTCCTGCATAAAATTACCTAAAATTTAGCCTGCTCTGAACCCAACCTCGTACCCAGGGCTAGTCGCGAATTGAAAGCGGCGACGTAGCCCTGGTAAACGCTGGTCACGTGCCTCCAACATTACGTAATTGTTACTTTTCTCAACCGGGGGGTGAATAGGTGAAACTCGAAGACAAACAGTTTTTATCTCCGAAATTCTTCAATCTTTCCTGTGAATTTTGCATTTCAAGCTTTTCTCAAAGTACGGCGATCAATCAAATGGATCAATACTTTCTGTAGAAAAAACTCAGTGAGATTTGTTCCAATGAGACGTTTAAAAGACTTGGATATGTCGCTAAAGACGCTCGATCATTGCACAGGTTTATGGTTTAGTACTTTGTTCAGTTTGTTGCGACTTGCGAAGCAAATGAATGCAAATTCAACTCTTGTATAATGACTAAAAGTTGGTTTGTAGAGGGACAACTTATACAAAATATATGAATACATTAGCTTCAAACTAGGGACAAGTTCATGGACATCCCATATATATGGACATTGATATTTCACCAATATGTAAATATGACTATTAAATATATAAAAGGATTGCTGTTGTATTACTTGTATATGTATATGTACAAGTGTTGTGCTGTGGTATTTACGTTTTAACCCTTTAAGTGGCAATGGGCCATCCATTTAATATACACCCCCTCCTCCCATGGACTAGAATTTCTGAGGGGGTTGAAAAAGCCATTTCTAGGGGTTGTGTGCATCCGTAACCTTTGATCTTTGCATTTTTTTCTGAGGGATAAGGCAAAAAGTTCTTAATTTCTGGGGGGTGTTGGTGTCGACACTTTGATATTTTTTCTTAGGGGGGGGTGTACATCGTCCATAGGTGGTGTGTACATTAAATGGAATGGCCCAAAGCACCCAGATGCGCCCTACTTTGTTAGTTTACTCTGTTTAACATCAGACAATTTTACTCATCAGGTGGAGAGTGCATGGCCCCACTCAATGGGTTAACATAGTCGATGAACATGCCAAATGATCCTTGACCGTGGTAGTACATTTTTGCACTTGCTGGATGATATTGCAACCAAGCATTGTTTCAGAGGAAGAGCCCTGAGATCATGCTGTGTAGCAATTGGAATCTCGCATAGAGCCTGCTCTCACATAAAGCAGGCAAGACCTTCACTCAGAAGCCAATCCTGATTAATATTAATTCCCAACATAAACACTTGGAAACCAGACTGTCCCATCTGCCACATGCAGGACAAAAAACATGCAGCCTGGACTTTAACTGTTATTAAACAACTAAATCAGCATGATAAACAGTGTGATGATTTTTGCTTAGCCCAAACCAAAGCCAGTTTTCTAGAATTAATTTGCAGAATCCTAAGAATTGGCCCGCCAACTTGAAGAGTTAGCTGTGCTAACCAAGTTGCATGGGCAACCCTGAATTGACGTGACTAGAGCAAATCTTCAAAAAATAATAGAGATCAGATTTGACTTCCACTGCTGCTATTGCTATCATTAAAGTTCTAACCAGATAAGTTTCATTTATCCAATCAAACAATCGGATGCAACTGCCAGATCAAGTAGTGGTAGTGGAAGTCAAATTTGAACCTTTCTATATGGATTTCAGAGAGACCAGTCATTATTTGCTGATATATTATTATAACTTGTTTAATCAAAAGCTACTATATATTCATTTATGATATTAAAAATTGATATAATTTTATCTAAGTGAGAATAATTTTAAAAAAATATCCATAACATAAAATGATTCATGCATGCTGGTGATTGAATAAACAACATGGAGTGTGCATTCTGAATCTCTACAAGTTCCTTGACATTATTTTTCCAGTACAGTGTAAAACTATATATATATAAATGTGACACAGGTTGCAGGTATTAGGTTGCATGTCCACCAGTGTGCTGAAATACCATCCAGTGACCCGGTCTGGTTCATTGTTACTTGCATCTTGCTTAATTCAACTGTTTTCGCCCTATTTCTTGTACCCATAAAGTTCTTTTCAATAATCTAGAAAACTTCAAAATCATTCAGTAAATTTAATTTTAAAATTGAGTGAAAGGTAAGGGGTCAATAATAGATGAAGAAATCATTTCTTATTGTTCATACATATGGCCCCCATCTCTGTCAGGTATTAGAGTAGAAATTTATTGAAGCCTGAAGTCAGAAAATAAATATGGCAACATGGTTACACGCCATACTGCAGAGTTAGGCAATTTTTTTAAAGATCTCGAGGGCACAAAAGGTATAAATATAGATTGTAGGGGCAAGGGAACAAAATAATGAAATTTTGAGATTCAGAGGCAGGTTTTACAATGGGTGCTAAAACTTTTCCCTAAAAAATCCCTGACCAGCTGGAGTGCTGAAACTGATGTTTGATTATTGAAATCTCCTAGCAGGTTAGGTTCATCAGATTTTAGCTTTGTCAACCTGGCCACTCTGTTATTACAGTAATGCCTCATTTAAATAATTTCAGGTCATTACTGTATAAATGTAAATACAAAGTATTTGAAGTTAGTACTGCTGTAAAATGTAGTTTAATAATACTGTATTAAAGTGTAAACACGTTTCTCGCAGCGATAAATCAATATATTGTAAATAATAATCATGTGAGAGTAGAACTTTACTGAGAGTCCGAGTATAGTATTATAGGCCATAGTCTGGCCATGTGTTTCTCAATATTGACAATATTTAAACTACAATTGTACAAATTCAGCTAACTATATTAACATACTGTATAAAATATATTACAGTAAATAGCCTTCGAAATATATATTTCATAGAGCTAGACAGTGTAACAAATAATGGGAATCTGCTAAATAATTTGTAACAGAGAAATACTTCTAAACATTTTCAAATTCATATATACTGTACCTTTTTATACTTGATGGAAATCATCACAAATAGTATGGACGAGATTGGCTCCATTTTCACTGCTTTGAAATTCGAAACATCGCCTCCTCGGCGATTTACATGATGCGATATAAAAGAAGATTGATGTACATTCGACGTAATATATAAACGTAACATATTAAGAAGAAAGATTACAACAAAAAATAAAAGAATATAAATAATCCGCGGCAATTCAAGTTCCATTCGTGAACTTTTCGTCGCCCCCCTGTCTTTATTTCCACAAAGCCCGCTCGCAGGCTAATACTCCAAGAATCTTGGAGTATTTGCCTGACACGTGACCAGCGTTTACCAGGGCTACGTCGCCGCCTTCAATTCGCGACTAGCCCTGGGTACGAGGTTGCACAAAAATTATGAGACTACCCATGTGAAAGTATAATTTCCTCTCCCCTCCCCCCTACAGAGCAATGTTGCTCGTGATTGAGTTGAAATTGTGTAGCACAATGCTTGCAATAACAGTCAACATTGTTTTGAAGGGGGAGGGAGGGTGTGGGAGGAAGGACGAGCTGCTGAGGGTAAGAATTTGCATAAATATGCAAGTCTCAATAATTTTTGTGAAGGATTGTCTTAATAAATCATAAGACTTGGTATTTTAAACAATTTCAGATTCTTTATAAATGAGTTGTATATAATTTATGCGAATAATGCGTTGTATGGTTCACATAATAAGTTTCACACGCTATTGGAACGTTTGTCGCACAGAGTAGGGCGTGGCTTTTTGGGCGTAACCCATACTCTTATAGATGATGTCACCCACAAAATTCTTGTGTCTCGCGAAAATGTGAACTGATCACACTCGCTGCTAACCTTAATTAGTTAGTTAGTTAACGTTAGTCGTTTATCAATGTGTATCTGGGTGGTAGTCAGAGTAGGTGGGGAGGTGGGGGGGGGGGGGGGGAAAAAAAGGGAAGGAGAAAGGCAAATAGGTGATTGATTCTCCTCACCGTTCCTTATATGCATATTATGTGTATATTTCTGATAATATAATAGTAGACACTTGATATATAAAACAAACAAATCATGCACGAAAGCAACCTATTCGCAGTTTTGTCCAAGGGTTAAAGCGACCTTGTTGAACTATTCGCCAGACATTATTGATAGGACAATTGAGTCCATGGACAAACACATTGACATGGTGATCAAGTCAAAAGGACAACGCATTAAATATTACATTTTGTGGCAATTTAAGTGTGTAATGTCCTTTAAATGCCATTATTATCATC